TCAATGACATGAGACAAAGTATATGTGAACTGCTGTATGAAAAGTGAATTTACTCTGTAAATCTTCACCCAAATCCTAAAAAAAAAAATACCCTTTGTCCTAAAGTAAAAAAGATGATATACAGTCATAGAAAGAGATTTGTTTTTAAAGCCAGTTCACCCTTTAGCTTTTCTGTGGAAGTTCTCATCTGAGGTATGTAGCTGACTACTGGGTACAAAAGAACCTTAAAAAACAGTAACTCTAATAGTAACCTCTAGAGGTGAATCTCTGTTTGAAAAAATGTTTCTTACTTTTAAGATAATGAAAACTCTATAAAGATAGTAGATAATTTCTTTGAAATATAATATAGATACATTATATAAAGAAATAATATTACAATGAAGAAATAGAAATAATAAATACATATTCTCTTTCTGTGTTTTTCAAAACTGCACAAAAGTGAGGACAGCATAACTAGAGTACTCTACCACGAAGGTTTTTTACATCCTCCACAATCTTCTGTTGTTGTTGTTGTTGTTGTTATGTGCCATCAAGTTGGACCCGACTCACAGCAACCCCTCCTTGGGTTTCCAAGGCAGTATCACTATGGAAGTAGATTGCCCCATCTTCCTTCCAAGGAGTGGCTGGTGGGTTTGAACCCCTAGCCTTCTGGTTAGCAGTCAAGTGCCTTAGGCACTATGCTACCAGAGCTCCTAGAAACCCTAAATCCACCATATATTTTACAAGTAGGATGATATAACTTCATTACAGAGTTTAGGAATTTAAAATGAATTCATACGCAAAGGTCTTGGTAATAGGCAAGAAGCTCTGGTGATGCAGTGGTTAAGGCATTCAGCTGCTAAACAAAAGGTCAGCAGTTCAAACCTACCAGCTGCTCTACAAGAGACAAATGAGGCAGTCTGCTGCCATAAAGATTTACAGCATTGGAAATTCTATGAGGCAGTTCTACTTTGTCCTACAGGATCACTAGGAGTCAAAATTGAGTTGATGGTAGAGGGTTTGGTTGTGGGGTTTTAGTAATAGGTCTCTTTTTTTGTAACAAAAATCAGAAAGAAGGGTCAGTAAGAGAAACAAAGTCAATTAATTTTTAAAAAATTTAAGGAAAAAAGTTGGTTTAAAATAAAGCTACCTTTCTAGCCTTTTCATGTCTGAATGCACAACTACTGAGACACTGGGAACCATCTGCTGAGAGTATCTGAAAGGTCCTCTTATATATTTATGCACACAAACAAATTGGCTCTAAGCAGAGCTCCCACAGAGGCATACCAGAATGGATGTTTTCCTTTTACCTTATCACAATACTGACAAAAGTAATCACGGTTGGGCTTTATGATAGGTAGAGTTAACTCTGGCACCTCTTCTATCTTCATGTCTGGGTGCCTCTTTGATAAATGATTTACCTAAAGGGGGCCAAAAATGAGAGAAAGAGACTCCATTACAAATGGAAGCTAAACAAATCCCTCTGGTATGAGAAAATGAAATTCTCTGAAGCAATGTTTCAAAAAAATAAGGCTAGAACCAGCATCCCCAAACCCATCTGACACCAAAGTATTAACAGTTACTGATAAAGGGAGTTAAGAGTAATTCAGCAAAATCCTGAAAATGAAGTTGGTCACTGTGGATCCCATTAACAGGCTTTGGCTGAAATAATTGCTGTTGGAAAGATGAGTGTGGGCCAGAAAATTTTTAACGAAGAAATAAATAAATAAATAAATAAACAGCAAAAGTTAGTAGTAACCTCAGCCTCCAAGATGCATCTGAGTTACTGGAGTGCTGGAACATATAAAATTACACTAGCATTTCTTTGGAGAATTCTCCTGATGCAAACTTTGTTTCATTATTTAGTGACTAGCCTTACTGAGAACATTGAATGAGAAACAAACTGAGGTTCTGAATTTGAAATATTGCTCTGTGACTCTCTAGCTCCTAGAAAAAAAACCAAACAAACATATTCTTCAACTAGAATAAGGTCAGGATGCATTTACAGCAGTGAACTAGTTACCCTGATGTTTCAACTAACCTGGGTTCACAGACCCTGCTTTGGTGGGAATATTCCTTCTACTGATGTTTCCTATCTATAAAAGAGAGGCATTATAAGGGAGTGGTGGGGGAAAGCAAAAGATCTCACCCAAAACTATATACAGGGACACAAAAAAGAAGAGGGAAATATAACAGGAAAGCAATAAAGAGGTTGGGAAGGGCCCAGAGAAATAAAACAAGTTAGTGAAAAGTGACAGAAAAAGTCCTCTTTAAGAGGCCAGCAGAAAAGAACTGTAATAAAGGATGGAAAAGGGAGATTGGAAAGAAAAGACTCCAAATTGGGAATTATTTGCCTCAGGTTTTTTTGTGTTTTTTTTTTCCTTTTTCCCCTAGACATTCACTATCAGCAGATACAGTTTAGTACAATGTACAATACACAAACCATCATCCACAGACCAAATGACATGTGTCTGGAAGACAGAGAGACTGCAGCCATTAACACTGACCAGCATGCCTCGCCTCCGGAAGCCCATCATACACAGGCGGCACTTGAATGTGAAGCTGTCGTAATCTGTGGATGTGATGCGTGGCTTGAAAGTCTTGGAGCGGCTGATGCGGTCAGCTTTCTTGGCTTCCCTCTCAGGATTATGCATCCTTTGCATGTGTTCCCGCAGTTTGTCTTTTCGCTGTTTAGAGAGAAGTTTTGGAATGGTGGGTGTAGGCCAGAAAATTTTTAATGAAGAAAAAAAAAAAATCAGTGAAAGTTAGTAGTAACCTCAGCCTCCAAGATGCATCTGAGTTACTGGAGTGCTGGAACATATAAAGAGATGTCAAATATAACCAGGAATTACTCTGTTCCCTACAAACAAGTACATTCCAAAGACCTCTGGTGTAAAGTTAAATTTGAAAGATACACACTGATTTTTTTTTTTTTTAATTGTGATTTGGGTGAAAATTTAGAGAGCAAATTCCCTTTCCAAATAGTAGTTCACATACACTTTGTCTCATGACATTGACTACAATTTACCACAATACAACAGCTCCACTCCCACTTCCTCGCCATAGTTACCTCTTCCCTGTGTCCATCCCTCTATGCACTCCTGCCCCTGAGCTGCCTCCCTGTGCATAAACAGCCCTTCTTTCTCCCATGTTTGTTCTCTCTGAGGAATGTATCTACCTCAGGTAAAATGTTCAAGTCCTATGCCTGTCTTTTGTTTGGCTGGAAGCCACAGGTGTGGGTTCAATTCCAGAACTGAAGGGCATCTAAGGGCCATAGTCTCAGTGGTTCCACCAGATTCTGGTGGAAACCTGGTCCCCCCCTCCTTTTTGTTTTTCCAAATGATTTTAAATTTTGTTCTACATTGTTCTCCCTCTATATCCAGAATCTCCTATATAGATCCCCCTCCAAGTGGTTGACGGTGGTAGCTGGGTACCATCTAGTTCTTCTGGTCTCATAGTCATATAGGCTGAAGATCATATGGCGTACCAGTGGCTAGGACTAATTGTTTCCAAGAATTTTTGGTTTTCTTCATTCTTCTTTGCTCTGGATGAGAAGAGACCCATCACTGCATCTAGATGGCTGCTTGGAGGCTTTTAAGATCCCAGTTGCTACTTACCAAAGTAGGATGTAGAACAATATTTTGTGTAGTATGTGATGCCAATTGAGTTTGATGTCCCCTGTGACTATGGTCTCGAGCCCACAGGTTCAACTACTCCGTCCTTCTGGGTAGCGGACTGTGACCAAGAACAGACTACAACCTTGCCTCTTGTCAGCTCTATTATACACCTAGGAATTCATATCATGCAAGTACACTTATAGGACCACTGTCTGCCAAGCCTATACATGGTCTTGAATACACTCCATGCATCATAGACATACCTACTAGTTCAGCCTGTCCACCAATCTATCCATCCATATACCCATGTTTGCCTTCACTGACAAAACAGTACTCTATGTGCAAAGGGTTCATCTTTGTTGTCAGTACCTCCCATGTACCACCCTATGTCTTCCTCTTCCTCAATGCCACCATGTTGATCATTCACATTTGGTACATTGCCCTTCTCTTCACCCAAATCAGTACTTATCTCTACCTATCTAACAGTGTTCCCAGTGTTTTGAGGTGTTGGAGTTTTCTATAAATTCTAGAGATAAGTCCCTTGTCAGATATGTCATTGTCAAATATTTTTTTCCCAATCTGTAGGTTCTCTTTTGACTTTTTGGAGAAGTCTTTGGAAGCACATAAAAATTTAATTTTTAGAAGGTCCCAATCATCTAGTTTCTCTTCTGCTCTTTTTACATTTTGGGTTATGCTTCATAGGCTATTTATGCCATACATTAGGGCCCCTAAATTTGCCCCTAGTTTTTCCTTGAGGAACTCTATAGTTTTTAGGATTCACATTTAAGTCTTTGATCCATCTGGAGTTAGTTTTTGTGTATAGTGTGAGGTACAGATCTTGTTTCATTTTTCTGCAAATGGATCTCCAGTTTAGCCAGCACCATTTATTAAACAAATATTCTCTTCCCCATTTAATGGATTTCGGCCCTTTGTCAAAGATCAGCTGACCATAGGTCGATGGATCTATTTCTGGGTTCTCAGTTCTATTCCATTGGTCTATGTGTCTGTCATTATACCAATAGGCAGTTTTGACTACTGTGGCTGTATGGTAGGTTTTGAGATCCAACAGTGTGAGACTTCCTACTTTGTTCTTCTTCTTTAATAGTGCTTTGCTTATCCAAGGTCTCTTTCCTTTCCATATAAAGTTAATGATTGGTTTTTTAATATTCTTAAAGAATGTTGATGGGATCTGGATTGGGATTGCATTGAATGTATAGATTGTTTTGGGTAGTACTGACATTTTCACAATGTTCAATCTTCCTATCCATGAGCATAGGATGTTATTCCTTTATGTATATCTCTTAACGTTTCTTGAAGTAGTTTTTTTATAGTTTACTTTGTAGAGCTCTTTTGTGTCCCTGATTAGATTGATTCCCAAGTATTTTATTTTTTTGGTAGCTAGTGTAAACAGTATTGATTTCCTTATTTCTTTTTCAGCAATCTCTTTGCTGGTGTAGAGGAATCCAACTGATTTTTGGATGTTGATCTTGTATCATGCCACAATGCTAAATCTCTCAATTAGTTCCAGTAGATTGTTGACTGAGTCTCTTGGGTATTCTGGGTATAGGATCATATCATCAGCAAATAGGGATAGTTTGACTTCTTTTTACCAATTTGGATGCCTTTGATTTACCTTTCTTGCCTAATGGCCCTGGCTAGGACTTCCAGTACAATGTTGAATAGAAGTGGTGATAGCAGGCATCCTTGTCTGGTTCCTGTTCTAAAGAGGAATGGTTTCAGTCTCTCTCCATTTACAATAATGTTGGCTGTTGGTTTTGCATAGATGCCCTTTATTATGTTGAGGAATATCCCTTCTATTCCTATTTAGTGAGAGTTTTGATCAGGAATGGGTGTTGGAATTTATCAAATACCTTTTTGCATCAATTGATATGATTATGTGGTTCTTTTCCTTTGTTTTATTTATGTGGTGGAAGACGTTGATTGTTTTTCTAATGTTGAAAATCCCTGCATACCTGCTATGAACCCCACACTTGGTCATAATGAATGATTTTCTTGATATGTTGTTGGAGTCTATTGGCTAGGATTTTGTTGAAGTTTTTTGCATCTATATTCATGAGGGATACTGGTCTGTGGTTTTCCTTTTGAGTAATGTCTTTGCCTGGTTTTGGTATCAAAGTTATACTTGCTTCATAGAAGGAGTGAGGGAGGATTCCATCCTTTTCTGTTTTGGAATAGCTTGAGTAGGATTGGTATCAGTTCTTCTCTGAATGTTTGGTAGAATTCTCTAGTGAAACCATCTGGGCCAGGACTCTTTTTAGTTGGTCATTTTTTAATGAAATGTTCAATTTCTTCTTTTATTATGGACCTGTTCAACTTTTCCACATCAGTCTGTGTTAGATTAGGTAAGTGATGAGTTTCTAGAAATTTGTCCATTTTCTCCAGATTTTCAAATTTGTTGGAGTACAGTTCTTTATAGTATCCTGATATTATCCTTTTTATGTCAGTTGGTTCTGTTGTGATGTCACCCATTTCGTTTCTTATTTTTGTTATTTATATTCTCTCCCTCTTTTCCTTTGTTAAATTTGCCAGTGGTTTGTCAATTTTATTGATCTTTTCAAAAAACCAACTTCTGGTCTTGTTG